CCTTCCCCTTCCCCTTCCCTTTCCCTTTCCCTTTCCCTTTCCCTTTCCCTTTCCCTTTCCCTTTCCCTTTCCTTTTTTTTCCTGAAGCTCATAATTCCCTTAAGTTTAAAAATGTTATTTTGAAGAACATTAATTCAGATTACTGCCTTCGCTTAAAGAACGATATGGGAAATTTTGTTTTATAAAGGCAATTATTGAGAGATGTTCTGTCTTTATCTTTTCAGAGGAGCACATTATTCCTACATATTCCATTGCTAATTTTTTTATGAAGGTCATAGATTAATAATTATACCAATTATTCAGAAACTTCATACTAAATTATTTCTTAACCTCCTAAAATATTTGATATAGTCATACAAAGCAATTGCAGAAACCTCTCAGTGCTTTCTAATGTATAATTAAATATATCTGAGATTTACCTTGATTTTTTACATTTTTAAGGGTTCTAATCCATAATATTACAACTGCCCTATACAAGAAAAGTAAAACATAGAGAAATTAAAAATTTTATCACTTCTGAAGCATATAGAAACATTATAATAATTTCTATTATCGAGGTTAAATGTGGTGATAGAGTAAGTCTTCAGTTCTTGAGTCTTACTTGTGGTATATTATAAATGTTGCTGTTTTCTGTCTTTCATAAATGTAAACTCTGTTCTATGTCTTAGGTAAGAATGTAATGGATGTACTGTGAACAAAGTAGATGAAATGTTGGGTTTTCAGATTAAGAGAGATTTAATTTTGTGATGTGTGATCATGACTGTGCCTCATACCCTATTCCTAGTGAACACACATTGGACACATTATTCTTTTTTCCCAAGATTATTTATCAATTTGCACTATGGGGTGTCAAATTGAAAACACAAGCCACCACGATGATAGTTGAGTTTTGGAGGGCAGAAAGAGAAGCAGGTTCTTCTGAAATTCCCCAAGGTTCCAGACTGATCGTTGATGTTCTCGATGTCCAAAATATTGGACTGACTGAAAGCAGTCAGAAAACTAGAGTTGCAGAGAACCTGCAAAATGAAGTCTGCTGACTCTTGTGAGATAGTGATAGAGTCAGAACATGTATCTCGCTCTCCAGGAATCAAAAAAAGTGGAAGGGAGGGATTGACCTTCACAAGGAACCTGGGAAATGAAATTTTCTTTGCTACCAAATCCAAGCATTCAGAATTTGTGAGTGAGGCTGCAAAAACCTGCAATAGGTAGATAGATAGATGACAGACAGATACATAGACAGAAATGGAAATAAATATCCCTGACTTCTAAATAAAGTAATAAACACATGACAAATAATTTTTATTTCTTTCCATTTACTGGACTATCAGTGAGCATCTGAATCACATTTCTAAGCACTTCTATCAAGAAATGCTAAAACACATTTGTTAATGTTTATTGCTACTGAAAATTGACATTCTCATCCAACCTCTTGAATCCAGCAGGTGTCAGATTAAGACACACATAAAAGCATAATGTTCAGGATCAGATTTTAAAATTCAGATCCAGGGTATGTGGATGGACCTGCCAGACCAAACAATCAGATGGTGGAATAGAAAGAGCTTTGTGGTACTTCATTAGCTGGTAAGCTTTGGCTGAATGACTTGTCTCAGGTGGCAATATGGGAAAATGACATGCAAGTTACCCAAGAACTTTTGGCTGAGTGTCAGCTATTAAGAAATATAAAGCCTTCAGTTTCTGAAGTTTTTAGGAACTCTTAGTTTCCCAAGATTTCCTTTGTCTGAGTAGATGAGAGTATACAGCTGATGTCTCAGGGCATGCCTCACTTCCTTTATATAGAAGGAAAAGATGGGACTATACAAAACTGGACTTGAATTATCAAGGAATAGCATTTGTCTGTTTGAGTTCCCAGTGGGTCAAGTACCAGTCTTTTTTGTCACAAAAGTTACAGTGCACTATCAGTCTAGAACCATTTCCTATTTTATTCTTGAAAAGCAGTTGTAGGAATCTTTTGTAGGATACGTTTCTCTTATGAATACGTAAAGGGCTTCTCAGATTGCCTACACATTGCTTTAATAGATGAATGCCAACAGCATGAAGACCTCTGTCCAGGTGCAGTGTCTTAAGCTGCTTAACAAAGTGTTAATGGTATGTGAATGAAAAACTGCTGGACTTGTAGACCAGTGAAGCTGACATTGAGGATAGACTGGGAACATGCTAAAAGGCTATCTTGACATCATTGTTGAAGCTTTTTCAGATTCCTTATTTAAAAATCCAAACTGTATAATAGATTTTTGTAATTTAATATTTTAGAATTTAAGATTGTTTTCCCCCTACAGAAATTTAACTCAAAATCTAAAATAACTGTGTACACAAAAAAGGAAAGAAAGAAAGAAAGAAAAAGAAAGAAAGAAAGAAGAAGAAAGAAAGAAAGGGAAAGAAAGAAAAGAACTAATATGTGCTATATTGTGCATTATTTTCATAAAGAAAGTTTTCCCCGAGCAATATGACTTGGGAATCATTTTATCTGGAATGAATTGTATGGTTCCTCCAAAACTTTTTTCAAAACCGTTGTTTACGTGTATTTAAAAAACCCAACTTCCTAGAATCTTATATTGTAAAGCCTTTTATTGGGATGCAAAAAAAAGACTTTTGTTGAATGAATAATCTAATCCCTATGCTTAAAAAACAGTCATTCTTGTCCTTAAAAAATAAAAAAGAAAAGAAAAGAAAGATTTTCTATTTTATAGCAGATATAGAGAAGATCTTAGAAATAGTTTATTTAATAGCTTTTGCATGAATGAAATCTCTTGGTTGTTTTTATGTACTGCCAAATCCTTAGGGTAGTTGTATAACCATATATTGTTGTAGTTGTTGTGTTTTGGTACCTTATATAATGATCTTTTAAATAAAGAACTGTTTGAAACAGACAATATGCCTTTTATTCTGTTCGAAAAGAAGAAATCAAAAAATTAACACTATATGGAACAAAGGTATATGTGCATTTACCCACAAACGAATGGTTATTTAAATTATTCTGAATTTTACAGCAAATAAAGTATAACTTATAGGGATATATAACTGCACAATACTACAGTACCATGGTGGTTTTGCTGATTGTTGCAGAAATAGACAATAATGACACAAATTTCTAAATATTTGTCTTCAATATGCATAAGGCACTGAAGTACTTAGACCGCAGCTGCTTTTGAAGATGAAATCCTTGGCAAATATTTAACTTCCATTCTCCTCAAAAGTTTCCGTTTACTGAAGGCAGATTTTTCCTGATAGTGGAGTTAAGAGTTACTATTACAAGACCTGTCCTGCAGAGAATGAGAGAGTTGTGAACATTATAATTTGGGTTTTTTTAAGAAATATTGCATGTACTCCGCTTTACCTTTTAGTTTTATAGATTTCTGTGTTATAATGTTGAACTGAAAGGGGTTGTAAGAGCACAAGGAAATGGGAAGCAAAAATGCAGAAAGATAAGGGACTAATGAAAAAAATGTGGGAAGATGCTAACTGGGTATTCCTTCAGTCTGGCTCCAGACAAAGTGTCCGAGTCAGACCTAGCTGAGGCACAGGTGATATGCGTTTGGAGGGAGGGAGAAAAGGAAGGGAAAAAGGAGGAAAGTGAATATAATACTAATTCTTGCTATCATAGTGTTGGTTAAAGATTAAAGTATCATCAGCTGTATGAACTAAAAGATACAGGATATTCTGAAAAAAAGGCTGATTTTCCATCAGAGGATGGGAAGGGCAATCATCTGGCCTTCATTGCCAATGCTTCCCTTGAATCACAAAAAGCAGATTTGAACTGAGAGATTTCAAACTGAAAGTTATTAGTCTGAAACTCAAACTAAAGAAAGCTGATCAGGAAAAGGAGAGAGTGCAAGGCAAGGGTGTCAAGTATGACGCAAATCAGAGTTAGCTCCGTCATTCAGTAAGTTGTACAGAGTCTGGACTATTGAGTGGGACAAAAATACAGATTGTTGTTAATAGTTTGGTGTTCTCAAAACCAATCTGCCCAGGTTTGACAAGACTTGTGATTTGAATGCATATCTCAAGCAAGTTAGCACTATTTTGTCACACCAATCTCAGAATTAGAAGACATTCTGTTATCCATGCAGGAGGCAAGAAAGACTTTTTAGGGGCTATGAAAAAGGGTAAAGGAAAACTTAGCTCCAAAAAGAAGGCCTTATGATAAAGCAGAAGCTCATTTAATTCTTGAAAGGGGAAAAGAAACCTACATTTTTAGGTGTACACATTGATAGATCATACACTGCTAGTCTTCTCTACTTTATATTATTTTCCCTGTTTTTTTTGTTGTTTTATGTTTTTTTATTTTTCACTGTGGTGAGATAATTTATTGAAATTTATGAAAGTATTCAAAAAAACACTCAATCTTTAGGAATTAAATTATTAACATCCCTTGATATTTTCTATCTGTCTTCTACTGATTCTCGTCTACCACAGTACTGGTCCTAGTCTTACTTCAAATTCCTGTACCGTTTACTATGTTTCACTTAGCAAGTTAAAAAATTGGTCTGAATAAAATATTAGTGAACTAAAAATAGCTTGTGTATAGTGCATTTAACATGTATTAAAAAAAGTTATCAGAGAAA